AGGGATTACATAGGGATTTATAGGGATATATAAAGACATATAGGGTTTAGGGTTGGGGTTAAGGGTTTAGTTAAGGTTATAATTACAGGGATTTACATAGGGATTCATAAAGATATAGAGGGCTTAGTGTAGGGGTTAAGGGTATACTTAGGGTTATACAAGGATTACATAGGGATTTATAAAGATATACAGGGTTTAGGGTTTAGGGCTTGGAGTTTGACACAGTTTAGGGTTTAGAGTTTACGGTGCGACGCTGTTTAGGGTCACACACAGTTTTGGGCTTGGGGCTTTACACCGTTTAGGGTTTTAGGCCTACTCCTTTGGGGGTCTTGCGGGGGATATAAATATATATATATACATACATGGAAGTAGATATAGGAATATTGCGTCAGTAATGGAAAATGACATGGGAAAGACATCGAAAATGAATTGAAACTGGGCGTGTGATGGGTTTTATCTAGGGTTCTTTTTGTGGGGCTTCATAGGAATTACGCAGGCACTATCAGGTGACATAGGCAAATAAGAAAAATTGGGGGATATATGATCCCAGTTCTCGGTTCGCCAGCGCCACCCCCCCCCCCGCCTCCCCTCAATGGTATTCCCTAACACCCCGCCACCTTTCGAGAGGTCGCCATCCTCGTATTTGTCGTCGTTTTTGACGCCTCAAAGCCTCCAGCCTCACAAATGTCGTCGCTTTTAGCCACCCTTCTTTCGTCGCGTCTCAACAGTACCAGAAATCACAGGGATCAGGGTGGTCCTCATCTCGGTCCTTGCAACTCTGGTCGCTTTTGAAGCCTCATGTTGTTGTCGCAGTTGAAAGGTAGTCACAGGGATTGGCATGGTCTGCAGTTTTTATAAACTTTCTATGCAACATATCTCTCTGTAAACCTTCTCGGAATCCATTATAGCTGTCAGTAACTCTTATGAACAGTAAGAAACCATCGATAAAGCATACGTAAAGCGTAATGTAAACCACAAGACCCAGACCACAGGACCACAAGGGGGTGGGGCCACGGTGATAGGTTAAAAACCCTCTCCAAACAGTGTAAACCCTCTATAAATCTTCATTGAAACCAGACGACCCAGACCACAGGCCACAGGACAACGGAGGGGATGTCAGGGGTAATGGTTTAATCCTATCTTAGAGCCTAGAAGATAGCTTAAAGAAATCTTAGTTTTCCCGACCGAAGATTACCAACGGTACCCCATGGGGGTGGGGAGCCAGTTGAGGGGAAGGGGTTGGGGCATAAATGCTTACATATACATTCAGGAGGGTTTAAATGGTTAGACTGATAGAGAGGCGCATGGAAAATCAATTGGAAACTGGCTTTCTAAAGGGTTCCCTAAACCCCTAAACCCTAAGTAATTGGAACAAGGTTTTTGGGGCAGATCGGGACCAACGTTTGTAATTGTGTTGGTTTCTACCCTAGACTTTCCTCAGGCATGCTGCTGCTCAGCAGGGAAGGACGGACCCAACTTAGTAGGTAGGTTAAGAATCCCTATGAGACCCTACACCCCAAAGTCGAAAATAAGTTGTCCTCATCATTAACCTACCTACTCAGTCCCAGCAAGGCTCACAGGCTGACCGTATCATTGGCACGTGTATGAGAATTTTCCGGAGATGCTGTTACCTGAGGTGTTTGTACTGAACTAGGCCTTGTGATGGTTTGTGAGCTCATGGCCGTTTTAGGCTTAGGCCGGAAGGCTGTTTCAAGGTGGAAGGTGTTCGTCTTGGAGAGGCTACCTGTTGACCGTGTGTGAAAGGCTGAAACATGGCTATTCAGGGAAGGCGTTGTTGAGAAGTTCTTTTCAAGTTGGAAACTTGCGCGGTCAATGGTGGATTGCGCAGTTACTGAGGGTTCAGCGATATGGGTATGAGGAGTCCGTACTTTGTGGAGCTTGGGGTTTGGTCTGGGTCGCGATGTCGAGCTACCAGTGCTTGGCCCGAAGCAGGAACGTAACATGTGCATGTAAGAACCCGTGAGGATGCCCTTTTCTGCATAATGCTTAAGACCTTATGTTAGGGTTATATTGGGGTTAGAAGGCAGTATGCGAAGGTTAACGTGTTGCATTATGGGATAAAGGAAAAGAAAATTGAAACGTCTTTAATATAATAGGGTATATATTGGGGTTATATTGAGTTTCTTCCACTCTCCCCTCTACAAACCCTCGGAGGGACTTCATGTTCTACACCCGCATCTTTCCCCAGAATGGTACCATTGTCTTTTTTGAAGCCCAAACCCAAAACCTTAAACCCTGCACCCTAAACCAGCAACCAGGCATTGAGCAACAATCTGGTCCCGCTGGTTCTGGCAGAGAGCTCGGCATCGTCTTCAGCTTTGGAGGACTTCTTGGCATCAGGCCTGGGTGGGACCACTTTTAAGTGAGTGCTTCAGGTTTCAGGGTCTAGGGATATTACTGTACCTCAATATATAATGGAGAATCAAATGGAGAAGATCATGGACATGAAGTGGAAACTGGGATTTGTGTAGTGGTTGATAGGGCTTAGGGCTTTTAAAAAAGGATGCGCCATTTTGGGTCGCAATAATAAGGATTGGCTTCCCGTATGTAAGGAAACTACCAAGTAAGACTGGCGGGAGGAATGGGAGTGCTAGCCTCCCGTAGCCTAGTATGGAACTCTAACAATGTACTTGAGAGACGACTGACTACTGCTTTGTTGAACAGGCGGCTATAGCTTGAGGAGGGTATGCAAGGCAGTAAACGGAGAGCCCAACAGGATGAGTTTTCAGGACGTGCAAAGTTGCTCGAAGGCGATTCAAGCACTTGGTGACTCTCCCTTTGAGTTGTTCATTATCGCTTGGCTGTGGAGTCTATGTAACGGAAAGTTGCAGTGCTTGGCGATGCATTGAAAGTAGGATATCACCAGTCCGCTCCATGAGTGTCATCACCATGAGCAACCGCGTGGGCGTCGGCATCATCATCTGGCATTGAACTGCGCGCGGATGACCTTGCACGTTATTCAGTCTGAACATTTAGCAGAATCAAGAAACATGAATTTCCATTCTCGGAACCTTTAAACATCGGCTGAAGTTGTTTGCTACCCGGTTCCAGGTACTGAAGGGGCCTTCTTCAAAAAATTGCCAACACCGGGTCCTAGATTGCGTAGATAGGTATGGTAAAGGATACCTAAACGAATCTTCAGCATGCTTGTGGTATTTTTTAGGAGAATCTTTATGCAGCCTCTAAAAAAAACTGTTTCCATTTCATTGTCCATTAGATTTCTCATTATGGCCAACTATCTAGGCCCCCAAACCCTAAAACCCTACAGACCCCCCATATGACCCCTTTGACCCTTACATAATCCCTATGAAACCATTATTTACCAACCCTTAGCCCCAGACCGTACACCCTAACCCCTAAACCCCCAAACCCTGAACCCTACACCCTAAACCCTAAACCCTGAACCCTAAACCCCAAACCCAAACCCTAAACCAATCATTTTTTTGAGGGGTGAAAGCAGCAGGTGCCGTTACTGAGCCCGCAGTGCCTGGGCTGCTGTTAAGCGTTTGGGGTTTGGGGTTCAAGGGGTTTGGGGCTTAGGGTTTAGGGGACTTAGGGTTTAGGGTTTAGGATTCAAGGGGTTTAGGGCTTAGGGTTTAGGGGACTTAGGTGTTTAGGGTTTAGGGGTTAAGGGATTTAGGGGACTTAGGTTTTAGGATTTAGGGTCTAGGGAACTTAGGTTGAGTTACCAGAATCTGGGTATTTTTGTACATGGCCTGGCTTCCTTGCACAAAATCCTACATAGCCCTGGTAGCCCTGTTGAATATAAGCCCTTCAAACAGGAAATCATTACGGTGATTAATGTTGAGTTACCAAGCCTTAAACCCTAGACCTTGAGCCCTAAACCCTAAACCTCGAACCTAAAACTTAAACCTTTGACCTCAAACCCGAGGCCTGAAGCCCCAAACCCTAAGCCCTTTACAGCAACCCAGATGAGTAAGTAGTATTTCATTTGCGGACATTATAGTACCCAATATAGAGTAAGCTTATATCGCCTTTGTTTTTGGTATAGCATTTACTTAAGGAGCATCATCTTACTGGGTTCAACCAGCAAACAAACGCTACCCAGGTGCAGTGTGTTAGCCACTACCCAGGTGCAGTGTGTTAGCCTGCGGCTCTGCGCACTGGAGCAGAAGCGTCAACGCGTGGCTTCGTCGCACAACAGTGCTTGGATGGGCTGGAGCTTCCTTTCAAGGGATACATAGGGAGATATGGACGCATGGTGACTTCTGGCGTTGGGTTTGGTGGTTAAGGAGGTACCTAAACTCAGAGTTGTGTAGAATACTGTCCATTTGGCTGTTTTTCGGTGTTTGGGTGCCATTGTTTTGCCAACTGTTGAGTTTCAGGTAGTCCCGGAGAAAGCATGAAACCTCACGATGCCTTCAAAGAGTGACATCCGTTGAATACTAGATCGATCTTAGCGCGATGAGTGTCCTGAGTGAGGTTGATCTAATTCATTCTTGGCTTACGGACTCCTTACTGACTCCATTTTCCTTGGAAGTTGTTGGGCGTTGCCGTGCAGTAAGTGTTTAACATGTTTGTCTCTATCACCATCAGGCCTTAGCATACGTAGACGAAGGCTCGTTGGAGCTCAGGATTTCAAGCGATTCTTCCGAGATGCGCTGAAGTCTGCAATTCTGTCTGGAAGCTTCTTCACGCTGCCCGGTATCGTTAGGGGAGGGTGTATGTTCTAGCAACAAGATAAAGCGGACCCTAAACCCTTAAACCCTAAACCCCAAAATCTTAAAACGCAGCCAAAAAAAAGAAAACCTAACCGTAATGGTTGGGCTCCCAGCATGGCACTGCGAGCGAGGTGAGCAAACCCCCCTTGCTGTACTCAGCTGGGCCCGCCTCACAACTTTAGGCCCTGTACCAGTATCATGTTTATTTTTTCTTATCATAGTACTAATGGGCAAACAAATGGAAAAGACATGGAGAATAACATGGAGCATATCCCAACCCCTAAACCCTGAAACCTTAACCCTAAACCCTAACTCTTACTTGCTTCCAAACAAGTTTCATGTTAGGCCTTCTCCGAGCTTTGCTGAGGGTAAAGGGGGCCTTGCTCAAAGCTCCGATTCCAAATCTGCACTAATGGTGCTAGTACTTATCATACTAGTACACTTAGTGTACTTGGAGTGGTACGAGTACTAGTACTGGTAGTGGTGGTGGTAGTAGTAGTAGTAGCAGTAGTAGTAGTAGTAGTAGCAGTAGAGTAGTAGTA